ATTAGCCTCGGGTAATAATTCTATATTAGATTCTTCCGAAGACTAACAAGACTTCCTAATTGAATTATCCCTAAAACAATTAAGAGATTAAGCATACCCGAATATGGCTACAAGTAGTTCAATCCTATCCTTAGGTAGAATCTATAAAGTGAGGGTTAAAGCCTCAAGTTCTTGTTAATTAATCTTTCCCAACCCCAAATTATCTTTCCCAAAATTAATTCAAAGTAAATGGGCGAGTCCTAGGGTTAGCTAATCCCTTTGGAAACATTAAAGAACAAGAATAATTAAAGAAACAATAACTCACTTCATAATAAATAAAAATCATTCAATACATAAGCACAACAAGATATTTAATCCACACTTTAAATATGAATATTTCCATATACAAGATTCAAGCGTTGGAATAAATACTACACACTTATATATTCAATACAAAGCAAGAAAATGAAGAAATGAGCATAAATGAGTAAGAAATTCTCAACCAAAAGCTTCAAATCTTCAAGACCCAAGTGTGTGTGCAAGAACCCTAGCTCCAAAACTTGTCTTCTCTAGTCTAGAAACTGAAAAATAAGCCAAAGATCTCTTACAAATGAGCTAGGTCGTGCATTAAATGGCTTGGGGGTCAAAAACGTGAAATTTCAGAATTGCCCAGTTTTTCCGCCCAATTGTTCTTCGCGTTCGCGACTATATTTTCGCGTTCGTGAAGGCTTGTTTCCTTCAGCATCGCGTTCGTGATTATACCTTCGTGTTCGCGAAGGTTTTCTACCTCCAGCATCACGTTCGCGAAGGTTTGTTGCATGATGCTCTGCGTTCGCGTCTAACCCTTCACGTTCACGAAGGGTAATTCACTAGGCAGTACTTTTGTTTGCATTTTAGCTCCTTTTTGACTCGTTTTCACATGGTTTCTTCACCATCACTCCTAAATCACTTGATACCTGAAATATGCCAATAAACCTCAGTAAATTCCTTAGTTTCTCAACAAAATAATACAAAAGCCTAAGTATCAAGAGGAGATAAGTTGGTAAAATACCAACTTATCAAACCCCCAAACTTAAACTATTGCTTGTCCTCAAGCAATTCAACAACTAAGAACATCCTTCAATTAAATCACCAATCAAGCTCAATGGCATACCAAACATCATTTCAAGTCAAAAAGGTTCAACTTAAGCACAATCTAATGACTTCGGTTGGTACCAACAATTAATCCAAAGCATATGAATCACTAACTTCTCACAAATTTTATTTCAATTCAAGTGCTCAAACACTACATTAATCAAAGAAGCAACCAAGTCATGACACTAAAGCTTCAAAATTTGCCTCATTATCACAAATAATTTTCGTTGTTCATTCCTCCCAATTGGATATTGGATTAAGTTCACAACTCAAAATTTCCTCACACTTAAGAGAGAATCCCAACTATACATTGCAATTTAAACACAAATGGTATATCAAATGGAAAGAATTAACTCTCTCGCTCTCACACAAAGATATTCAAATTCACAAAAGTAGTGCCATAGGCTTGCCCTTCATGTATTTCTCCACTAATGTAGACACACTTGGTTCAAAATCAAGTAGGACTTAAAGGGTTGTAATGTAGGTTTTTGGCTAAGGTAGGGCACAATTTGGATAAGAGTTACTCAAAATCTCCCTAAGCACTACAATTTGCAATAATTAAAGCACACTTCCTTCAAAAACTTTTTCCATCCTTTCTTCACTTTTCATTCCACACCTAATCTTCCCTTTATTCACAACTCCTTATTTTTCCTTCCTTTTACTTCTTTCTTTCTTTCTTTTTTTTTTTTTTACCTTCCACCTTTTAAGCACCTTCCACATCACAACTTTTTCAACTTTCACCCCCAAACTTAGGCTTTTAGCCTATGTTTACACCTTCAAAGTACATAGGGAGGTAGGGTGCCTAAAGATAGATCAGTAAAGAACGATGGGTTAAAGCTTGTAACATGGCTGCCAAAAAAAAGTTTAAAGGCTCAAAAGGGGGTTGACTAGGGAAAATATGTAAGGGTAGGAAATGTAAGGCACAATAACGGTCCAAGGAAGTCCTAACATCATTTTTCAAACCAAGTTAGTCTAGGATTTCGCCTTGAAGCACATTCCGGGCAAGTTCTAGACTACAAATAATACAAAAGAACTCACAACAAATCTCACCACATGTGGCACATGCAAACTCGAGTGACATATAAATCCAAAATCTAATTAAGACCAATGAACCCAAAGAAAATCATATATAGCCTAAAAGACTATTTAATGAATCAAAGAGCCAAAAATAAAACCTAAAAGTCATAACAAGGATTATCACTTCAATCACTTTTTATTTTAAAAATAAAAACTTCATATGTCAAGGTTTATGTCATTTTGGTTGCAAACAAGCCACACGTTGGTTTATGGATAAAAGATCACACCCAATAACCAATTTATTCACTACTAGATATTATACTAACTAAAAACAAATATTTACCTAAAGAGAAAAAAGAAATTAAACACGACTAATCCCTTAAGAAAGTTGTCACGCCATCCATCATAGGGAAAGGTCACCCAGTTCGACACAAATTATTTCCTTGGAAAAGAACCGCGGCATAAAGAAAAACCAAGGATTTTAATTAATACTCCTACAAGTAAATAAATTAGAAAAATAAGAAAATAATATTAATAAAAAAAAAACTACTGCTAACATGCTAGAATTAAACTTCGAATTATCACTAATAACTATAATGTCAACCAATCTACACAAGTTGTCACAAAAAAAATAATCATGTTCCTATCATGCTCCAACTACATCATCTCATATAAATGAGTCACCCCCAACCTAAAGTATTGCACTGTCCTCAATGCAACTAAACAAAATAAGATAAAATGAAGGAGGTGCTCCATGAAACTACATCACTCGGAGCTGGAGGTGGAGGGAAATTTGAGCTCCTCCTCCTCCTCCTCCTCATCATCATCATCAGAGTCATTTGGACTGCAAAATAACGTCAACTTATCCATCATCTTGTTCAGGAATTTGCTCTTTTTCTTTTCGTGCTCCCTAAACTTTCTCTGCCGCTTCTCAATCTTCCCTTGCCGGTGGCTCATATTTTCCAACCTGTTGTTCATGGACTCCATCTTGCCCGTTATTGATTTTTTCTCTTTGACCACGTCATCGAGGGATAGTGGGGCAGCAGTGCCAGTAGATGTGCTAGCCCCAGGTGGACCAGTAGGAAGGGCGACTATAAGCTGCCTAATGTGTGCATCTACTCCATGTATCTGCCTGGATAGGTGACGCATAGTGTGAGGGTCAAACTGGAGTGATCCAATAGGGTCAAATGACCCTGGTGCAGGTGGAAAGAATCCGGTGGGATCAGTGGTGGTCTCAAAGAACTGCCCAAATGAAGAGGATGTAACATCAATCCTCCTCTTTTTTTGCTTGTCGTTAGGTCCCCTTTTCAGCAAAGGAAGGATCATCGGCTTTACCGGACCTTTCTCAACATCATTTGGGCATTTTAACACCCCCAGCATCATAGCATAGCTGAGTGATCAAGGATGGGAAGAATAGGCTCTTGGACCTCCCATGGGTAGATTCCTCGATTTCTCTAACAATGTGCTCCCCCACATTCACGGGTAGTCCATCCATGATAGCAGCAATGATCAGTGCCTTCTCTAGTGTCACATCAGTGTCATTTGTAGAAGGCAAGACTCTTGCACAGATAATAGAGAGCCACGTCTTTACCTTAGAAGTGAAGTCATGTGAATCAACTCCCTTTGTGCATTGTCAACCAGTTCGGGGTCACCCCATCATGCAATTTGTCCACCAACCATTGGGTTCCCCCTGCTTTTGCTCTGCCTCTGTAAACCTCATTATTGGTATTGGGAAGGCCATAAATTTCATTGATCACCTAAGGGCTGAAATGGACTTGCACACCCCTCACAGTAATAACTAAGGTTCCTTGGAAGTCCGTCCTCAAGGCGTTTGCATAAAATTCCAACACTACTGTGTGGTTGGCATCATTTGGTTGATCAGCAAAACAAATTCACCTGCTTTCGACCAATCTTGTGTAGAAGCTCGGCATTTTAGCTTCAACCTTTTCCATGTTGATGCCTCTTTCCCTGACAATGGTTTTTGACAAGATTTCGTCATATTTTCGTTCACATTCCGCAGATAAAATTGGTCATGATCAAAGGGTTCCTCTTGTTCAACTTTGAGGACATGTTTTTGCTCAATTTCATTGTGTTCTGGAACCATTTTATGCCCAAAGTACCAAAAACAATAGACCAACAATGTTAAAAGCTCATATAGACACTTAAAATAATGTATTAGGAAGTATTTAGGCCAAAGAAATGGGCAAAAAAGGTCCCGGGCAGAGCTGTGCAAAGCTAATGTTTTTAGCCATTTTTGGGACTACCAGTGATTGCTCTTCCCGTTCGCGTGAGGGCTACCACGTTCGCGAAGAGCAAATTTTTTTTTCAGGTTTAATCCTTCGCGTTCGCGAGCAGACCATCGCGTTCGCGAAGGTAAAAAAACAAATTGCTGGGAATTAGACCATCGCGTTCCCGAAGGTCATCTTCCTCGCCCAAAGATAACTTTCATTCAGGCATTTTTTCGAACAGTTGGGTGCCTTCTTTTCTTTGCTCATTTTTCAGTACATTATAGCACAGATCTTGCCCAATTTTCTTCAATAGAAAGACACTTCACACTCAACCAACCTCACCCAACAAGCACAATAAATTCCCCACACAAATTTGATATTTCAGGCTTCAAATTTTTGAACCCTAAGCACAAACAACCATGGATGCCCTTCTATTGTTTCACACCAAGAAAGGGAAGAAAGATTTAAGAGACAAGAGAGGAAATTACATACCTTGAGAATGGCGAGGGGGAATTCCAATGGACTTGAAGATTATGGAGAACTGACTTTTGAAGGTTAAGGAGTAGTGAGAATTGTTCTTGAGCCAAAAGGGGGTAAATTGTTCGTTTCCAGTGTTTTAACAATTTTAAAACTTACCTGACTTCACGCGTTCGCGAGGGCCGCTTCGCCTACGTGAAGAATAAATGTTGACTGAACAGTCGCGAACACGACCTTATCATGGCGAACGCGAAGGCTTGAAATTTCATACACCTTCGCGAACGTGAGAGAGTCAACCGCGAACGCGAAGCAGTGCTTCTGCAATTTCCTACAGCTTCTGGTTTTTGGTTGCCCAGTTACCCTGACCTGCTTAAATCAACTCCAAAAATTGTGAAATTTGGCAGATTAGTCAAAAATAATATACTAAGCTATTCTAAAAAAGAAAATTTCAAAAATGACTAAAAATTTTGAAACTGATGGGTTGCCTCCCACCAAGCGCCACATTTAACGTCGTGGCATGACGCGAATCAACTTTATCACTTTTCTCGCCACTTGGATGATATGAATTAGGAACCTAGCTTGGAATTAAGCTTGTGACCACGAGGAACAGGGGGTGGTAAGTAGATGATCAAGCCACGCATTAATTTCTTCATTTTGCATTTCTTGGCTTTCATGTGAGGAATGTCATTTTGCCTTTTTGTTCCCTCAAATTGTAAGATGTATGGCCTTTGCCTTTCCTCCTCGCAATCCCCCATTGACTCGCGTAGTTCAATTCCCATATCACCACACAATTCCAATGTTGAAAAATGCTCGGAGTGTGATATCAAACCTTCAAATTTCAATTCTTCCCGGATTTTGACATCCTCTTTTTCCTCCGGACTAGAGTCAATCTCAACCATATTTTCAATTATACCGGTTGACTCTAATTCCATATTTTTCTTGGCATCACTAACAAGCATGGAGTCAATTGGCGGATGTTCAATTCTTGATTCCTCAAAATAAAGCTCACTTTCTTCCTCGATGTCAGACTCTTCTTGATCTCGTTCCACACTCTCAAGTTGGTGGGCATAGTGAGCCTCAACCAATATTTTCATTTGCTTTTCCAAGGTACTGATATCATCATCATTTTGAGTTAGTGCTTGTTTCAAGTCCTCGAGTGCCAAGTTGTGCTTCTCCTCATTTTCAAGAATGGCCTCCAACATGAGCATCATCCTCTCATTTTGAGCATTTGAGAGTGCTTCTTGGTTTTGATCAAGTGCCAAGGAAGGATTTTCGGCTTCCACATCTAAGGAAGGTTGTTGGCTATCATTCACTTCCAAGGCTTTTTGGACCTCTAAAGTTTCAAGCATTTCTCTCATTTGTAAGTTCAACCTTTCAAGCGCCAAATCATTTTGGAGGCTATTTTCCAAAAGCTCCCCCAAGGCATTTTTCTCTTTGTTTTCTCCTTCAAGTAGGCATTCTAACATGATCTTGAACTCTCCATTTTTACCATGCTCAACTTCTTCCACTTCCATATTCCTATACTTGTCATCACAAAAAGTAGAATCATCATAGCGGGGGTTTGGGAAAGGGGAGGACAAATAAGCACAATTATCCCAATGACCATTTTGACGACCACACTTATCACAAATACTCCACTCATGAGTTTGAGATTGTGCGCATAATCCGTCCCGGGAGAATTTAAACAATTTTGCCACGAGTGTGGTCCTCCACAATAAGGACAAGGGTCATCAAAGTATGAACAACAACCATCCGACCAATTTTCATTATATGATGCCATTTTATTTTTTCAAAAACTAAGAAAATAAACAAGAAAACAAATAAGAAGATATACAAAGATAAGAAAATAATTACACAAATATTCACAAGTTTGGACCAAAGCACTTATGCTTACTTCTCAAACAACCTAAATACCCCAAATTGTTCCCCTGCAATGGCGCCAATTTTGATGACGTCCAAATCCACTACTAAAAAGTAAATGGACACGGTTGCATGCAATATAATTTACCCAACTATGAGTCGGGGTCGAATCCCACAGAGAACAATATGTAGGCGATTAGGTGTAAATGAGTAAGAAATTCTCAACCAAAAGCTTCAAATCTTCAAGACCCAAGTGTGTGTGCAAGAACCTAGCTCCAAAACTTGTCTTCTCTAGTCTAGAGACTGAAAAATAAGCCAAAGATCTATTACAAATGAGCTAGGTCATGCATTAAATGGCTTAGGGGTCAAAAACGTGAAATTCTAGAACTGCCCAGTTTTTTCGCCCAGTTGTTCTTCGCATTCGCGACTATATTTTTGCGTTCGCAAAGGCTTGTTTCCTTCCGCATCGCGTTCGTGATTATACCTTGCGTTCGCGAAGGTTTGCTACCTCCAGCATCGCGTTCGCGTATAGCTCTTCGCGTTCGCGAAGTTTTGTTGCCCGATGCTCCGCGTTCGCGTCTAATCCTTCCCGTTCGCGAAGGATAATTCACTGGGCAGTACTTTTGTTTGCATTTTAGCTCCTTTTTGACTCGTTTTCACATGGTTTCTTCACCATCACTTCTAAATCACTTGATACCTGAAATATGCCAATAAACCTCAATAAATGCCTTAGTTTCTCAACAAAATCATACAAAAGCCTAAGTATCAAGAGGATATAAGTTGGTAAAATACCAACTTATCACACGTTGCAACGGTATCATGTGTGGATCGGGTTGCACGCCGCAACAGTGTGACGTTGAGTATAGTTTCCCATAGCTATTCTTGTATGTTTTGTGTCTCATTTCTGAGGAAGGTTCATAACATCATTTTGGTTGTCGTATTAGTTAAGTGTGCTAGGTAGTTCTTTCCCAGGGTTCATTTTTCATTATATACCATATTTGAGTCGTGGACTGTCGGCACATTGATGGCGTTATATGAGACTTTTGACAGTGTCTGAGATGGCTTATTGCTTGAGCAGTTTGTACTGGGCGAGATGAGGTTATTGGACCTAGGATCAGTACAATCGGAGTTAGGAAGAGTATATTAAAGGGCAAATATCGTTATTCAGTTTAGAATGAGGTAATGGTTCTTGTTAGGAGGAGAGACTCCATGATTGGTGATTCGGTAGGTGGTTTTGAGTTTCTATATATCTCTTCCGTCGTGGCAGTATTGCAAGAGTTGGAACAGGGCTTATATATGTTATGAGATATACTAAGGGCTTCGGGTCGGGGGAAATTTCAGTTGTTGTGCTTGGGGGAGATTGCCTTGGGCAAATGAGTTATGTGGTGTATGTGTGATTTCAGCGGAGGAGCATGGTCACGTTGGGTTAAGTGTCTGGTAACTGATACGGTGTTCGTGTGTTAGAATCTGGTATCGTGGAGAATTCTGATTGTTGAAACTTGGTTCTAAAGCTTGTTAGCTAAGGTAGCAGGAGAGATCTTCAGTATGGCACGAGCTAATATGCTCAACCGCGTTGTGGTGGCACGGGTAGGTGCACGGGGTGTTAAACAGTGATTTTGGACAACTCCAGAGCAGTCCTTGGCACGTTCGAGGACGAACGTATGTTTAAGTGGGAGAGAATGTAACGACTCGACCGATTGTTTTGAGATTTAGCGCGTTGTTCGGCGGTTTGAGGCCTTGAGTAGCTTCACTTCAAGTATTATGACTTGTACATGTGGTCGAAATGGAATTTCGGGAAGTTCGGAGTAGATTTAGAAAGAAAATTCTAATTTCGGAAGCTTTAAGTTGGAAGAATTGACTAATGTGTGACTTTTGAGTAAACGACCTCGAAATTAGGATTTGAAGGTTCCTATAGGTTCGTATGATATTTTCGGACTTGGGCGTATGCTCGGGTCGGGTTTTGGATGACCCAGGAGCGTTTCGGCGCCTAATAGCAAACGTTGGTTCTTTGAAGGTTGTTAAAGTTCTTTAAATATGGTTTGGAGTAGATTTTGATGATATTGAGGTCCAAATGGAATTTTGAGACTGGTAATAGTTCTGTAATGTCAATTAAGACATGCACATAAAATTTGGCATCATTCTGAGTTGATTTGATAGGAATCGGACGCGCGGAAGTATTTTTAGAAGTTTTTGAGTTCATGAGTTAATCCATGCATTTTGGCATCCGATTCATGGTTTTTGATGTTATTTAAGTGTTTCGATCGCTCGAGTGAGTTTCTATGATGTTGTTAGACTTGTGTGGGTATTTTGTGTGGAGCCCCTAAGGCTCGGGTGAGTTTCGGACGTTCGGGAGGATGAGAAAAACATCAATTTTTCTGGTGTTTCTTGGCAGCTGTTGCAGGTCTCGCAAATGCGAGAATTTGTTCATATTTGCGAACTTCGCAATTGCGAAGAAGCCTGAGTTGGGAAGTGTTCGCATTTGCGACACTTTGGTTGCATTTGCGACCTCGACAGTGTTCGCATTTGCGACCCGTTGGTCGCATTTGCGACCTTGGAAGTGGGAGCCTAGGTTCGCATTTGCGATGAGTTTGTCGCATTTGCGAACCAGGTGTCGCAAATGCAACATCTGCGACCTGTACACGGCCTTATTAAATGCAGGACTTAGACCATTTAGCTCATTTTCTTTCATCTCTTGGGCAATATTTGGAGCTCTTGGAAGGGAAGTTTCACCTAGCACTTTGAGGTAAGTAATTTTTACACAACAAGAGTTAAATACATAGCTTATGGGTAGATTATAACATGTAAATTAGTGAAAATTATGGGTTTAGGTGAAAATCTAGGTTTTTGATAAAAATTACATTTTACCACGAAAGTTGTTATGGAATTTAGTAAAAATTATATATTTGAGTTCGTGAGGTTACGGGTAATAATTTTCTTCAAAATTTTTCGAAATCCGGGCACGTGGGCCCGGGGTGAATTTTAGGAATCCTGTATTCGGGGTTGGGTAATCCCTTTAATAGTTGGAATATGAACTTTTGAATAGGTATTGATTTATTTTTAAACCATTTGACTAGTTTTGGATTGTTCGGCACCGAATTGAGGGTTTGAGCACAATCTTGGACCGGAAAGTGAGCTTTGAGACGAGGTAAGTCTCCTGTCTAACTCTGTGAGGGGGAACCTACTCCTAGGTGATATATTTAAAATGTGTAACTTGATGGGGGGGCTACGTACGTACGAGGTGACGAGAGTCCGTACGTAGCTAGATTCATGTTATTGTCCGGGTAGATANATATACCACACTCTCATGGGAGCGGGCCGTTCGCCTCGGCAGGTTAATAGATGCATCTATGGTTTGTCCGTTCGACCCTCGGCAGTACACAGATTATGATGGGATCGGGCCGTACGCCTCGGCATTTCTATAACATATCCTCATGAAATCGTGCGTAACATTTGGCAAGAAGACAGTGTATCTGTGAGTTCTTCCTGGTTTGAAGTATAACAACCCATTTTGGTGAGGTCCACTATATATTTATATATATGCTCCGGTTGAGGAGGAAATTTCCTAATTGAGAGTTTGAGCCTATTGTAAAGAGGAGAATTGTACCACGTATTTATACTTGTTATTTTATTTATTTACTCTGCCTCATATTTGTTCACCTCTTTACTGTACCTGATATTATTGGATCACTAGGGAGTGTCGATGTCGACCCCTCGTCACTACTCCTCCGGGGTTAGGCTAGATACTTACTGGGTACACGTTGATTTACTTACTCATACTACACTTGCTGCACATTTTTGTGCAGGTACTTTTATGTTTGGGGTTCCTTTGGGCGCGGAGGCACGGATGATGCGAGGACTTACCATGAGCTGCATTTCATGTTACGATCCGCAGCCAGCAGAGTCTCCTTCAGAGTTATTTATATTCTCCTATTCAATTTGTATTTCGGACAGATGTTGTATTTTATTTTACTTCCTAGTAAATGCTCATGCACTTGTGACACCAGATTTTGCTGATGATTATGGGTTGTTCCGTATTATTGTTGTGAAGATATTATCATTTACTCTGTAAAATTTTATCTTTTACTATTTAATTGAAGGAAATTTATGATTTCAAAAATACTAAAATGAGTAATTAAGTTAAAATTTTATTGTTGGCTTGCCTGACAGTGGTGTTAGGCGCCATTACGACCTTTAATGAATTTTGGGTCGTGACACCTTCCTATCAAGGGTCATGTCCTCGATCAGCTGAAGTTGCACCATGTCTTGCCTAATCACCTATCCCCACCTCTTATTTGGCCTACCTCTACCTCTCTGTAGGCCCTCCAATGTCAAACTCTCACACCTCCTCCTCACATGACCAAATCACCTAAGTCGCGCTTCCCGCATCTTGTCCTCAAATAGGGGCCACACCCACCTTGTCGCGAATAACCTCATTTCTGATCCTATCGAACCTGGTGTGACCGCACATCCATCTCAACATCCTCATCTCTGCTACCTTCATCTTCTGGACATGAGCGATCATGACTGGCTAACACTCAGCCCCATACAACATCGTTGGTCTGACCACCACTCTGTAGAACTTACCCTTAAGTTTCGGTGGTACCTTCTTGTCACACAAAACACCTGAAGCGAGTCTCCATTTAATCCATCCCGTCCCAATACGATGTGTGACATCTTCATCAATCTCCCCATCCCCCTGAATAATTGACCCAAGGTACTTAAAACTCCCTTTCTTAGGGATGACCTGCGGGTCCAGCCTCACTTCCCATTCCCCTACTTGAGTCTCGCAACTGAACTTACACTCCAAGTATTCTATCTTGGTCCTGCTCAACTTGAAACCTTTAGATTCCAGGGTCTGCCTCCATACCTCTAATTGTGCGTTCACATTATCTCGCATCTCGTCAATCAATACAATACCATCTGCAAATAGCATGCACCACGGCACCTCCCCTTGGATGTGGCGCGTCAGTATGTCCATTACCAGAGCAAACAAAAAAGGGCTGAGTGCCGATCCCTAATGCAACCCCATCATAACCGAAAAATGGTCTGAGTCCCCACCCACCGTCCTCACTCGGGTCTTTACCCCATCATACATGTCCTTAATCAACCTAACGTAGGCAACAGGTACACCTCTAGCATCTAAATATCTCCACAAAAAATCCCTCGGGACTTTATCGTATGCCTTTTCTAAGTCGATGAACACCATATGAAAGTCCTTCTTTATCTCCCTATATTGCTCCATCAATCTCCTAATAAGGTGGATGACTTCTGTAGTCGAACACCCCAGCATAAATCCAAATTGGTTCTCAGAAATAGACACACTCCTCCTCACCCTTAGCTTTACCACTCTCTCCCATACTTTCATAGTATAGCTAAGCAGCTTGATACCCCAATAGATATTGCAATTTTGGATATAACCCTTGTTCTTGTATACAGGAACCATCGTGCTCCACCTCCACTTTTCGGGCATCTTCTTCATTCTAAACATGTCATTAAATAACCTAGTGAGCCACTCCAAGCCTGCCTTGCCCGCACTCTTCCAAAATGCCATCGGGATTTCATTTGGCCCGGTCGCTTTGCCCCTGCTCATCTTACGCATAACCCCCTCAACTTCATCAACTCTAATACACCTACAATACCCAAAGTCACAACGACTCCCGGAGAGTTCCAAATTACCCAGAACAATGCTCGTGTCCCCCTCCTAGTTCAATAAACTATGGAAATAGGTCTGCCGTCTCCGACGGATAAGCCCCTCATCCAAAAAAACTCTAACTTCTTCGTCCTTGATGCACTTCACTTGGTCCAAGTCACGTGCCTTCCTTTCTCGCGCCTTGGCTAACCTGAATAACCTCTTATCCCCACCTTGGCCCTCGAGTTCCTCATACAAACAACTAAAAGCTGCAGTCTTGGCCGCTATAATTGCTAGCTTTGCCTCTTTTTCAGCCAACTTAAAATGCTCCCTATTCGCCCTCTTCTCTTCCTCGTCTACACTTTCCACTAGCTTCAGATACGTTGCTTTCTTGGTTTCCAATTTTCCTTGCACCTCTCCATTCTACCGCCGGTCTCCCTTGTGACCACCAGAGTAACCCTTTGAGACCCCTAATACCTCTCTCGCGGCTTTCCTAATGCATTGTGCAGTCATGGTCCACATAGAGCTTGCGTCCCCGCTACTCCTCCAAGCCCCCATAGTCACCAGCTTGACCCCCAACTCCTGCCCTTTAGCTTCCGTCAAGGCTCCTCACTTTATCCTATGTTGATTATACATCGCCCTTTTCCTCTTCTTCCTCGTGATCTCAAGGTCCATGACCAGGAGCCTATGAAGGGTAGAAAGGTTCTCACTCGGGATGACCTTGCAATCCGTGCAAAGACCTCTATCGTACTTCCTGCAGAGTAAATAATTAATCTGAGTCTCTTCCACTGAACTCCGGAAGGTGAACAAGTGCTCCCTCTTCTTCGGGAAACTCGATTTTGCTATCACCAAATCAAATGCTCTAGCAAAGTCCAGTAGAGACGTTCCTCCTCCATTTCTATCTCCAAAACCAAAGCCCCCATGCACATCATCATACCCCCCAGACGTCGCTCCAATGTGGCAGTTGAAATCTCCTCATATGAAAAGCTTCTCGGTATGCGGGATACCACGCACCATCTCATCCAAATCCTCCCAGAAACGCCTCTTGACTTCCTCATCCAAGCCTACTTCTGGTGCGTACGCACTGATTATGTTCAAACTAAAACCTCCAACAACTAGTTTAATAGTCATCAGCATGTCATTCACCTTCCTAACCTCCACCACTAGTTCACGGAGGTCCTTATCAACCAAGATACCTACCTCGTTCTTGCCCCCCACCCTCCCAGAATACCAAAGTTTGAAACTGCCCACATCCCGCGCCTTATCTCCCACCCACCTAGTCTCCTGTACACAAGCTATATTAATCTTCCTTTTCTCGAGAATCTTCGCTAACTCTACAGATTTTCCAGTCAAAGTTATTATGTTCCAAGAACCCACTCTCAGCCTAGTAGCTCCCTTAGACCTCTTACCCTCCGCACCCCCTCCCCCGCACTGACACCCCCGAGGATAAGACCTTACCCTACCATCGTTCACCAAAGCCACTACAAAATTTCAAAAAATATTTAGATAGAACATTTAAGGATCTTTACATAAATAGTTGGTCATATTCAAATACATAGACAGCCACTTAAACTTGGCACCAATTTCTACTTAAACACCNCCCCCTCACTATTTCCGGCAAATTTCTGAGTTATCTTGCTCTGAAACAAAATAAGTGCTAAAAATTTCAGGGCTACGGCAAATGCTTTTATGGTCGGTGTTTGATGGCCGAGAGTTGAAGAAGGTGGTGTTGGTGAGGGAACGATGGAACTAAAACAAAGCATGTCACATAGGAGTTTGACGGTGTTGGAGAAATAACGGCGATAACAATTATAACTTTATGTGAGGTGTCTAATTTCCCTAGCCATCTGAATTTTCAAAGTGATTCATTGAATTTAATGAGAAGAAGGGTTTGATAAACACAGGAAGACGACAACGTCCGAGGAATATCATAATCGGAATTGCCGTCAGCAGTTGCAGTGGTGGCGGTGGGGTTGGTGTAGCTCTCTATTCCAAAGTCCATCATATTGCACAAAGAATAAATTATTGAGAAATAAGCGCCTATAAGTTTTTATTTTTTGTAATTATATGAGGTCCTCAAAGATCTGTAGAGAGAGTTAAACAGAAAGAGAGGAATTTGTATTTTGTAGTGAAAAATTTAGGGAGACAGAGACATAAGGTTGAGAAAAAAGAGACCACGGCACCTGTGTGTTGGAATAAGATTGAAGGGGACAAAAAAGGTTCATGGTTTTTTATGGAGAAATTGGGGAAGGTTGAGAGATCGGTGGAGGAGAGAGAAGAAAAAGAGAGGAAAAAACACTAAAAGCAAAAATTCTGGTTGTTCATGCTCGAATATGAAGTGTGGTACACGCATTGTGCCACGTAAGCTGAATGTTTCTAATAGGTTAGTTTGAAGATAGATTAAGTACCTAATAGGAACAAGTCTCAGTTTTAAGTGTTTAAGTGGAAATTGGTGCCAAGTTTAGGTGGTTGTCTATGTATTTGGCCTTACTTTTTTTAGCCATATACATAGATTATACATTAATTATACGCAACTATACATATATAATATATAAATTATGTATATATTATACTTCCACCGTCTATGTTTAGTTTAAGTGGTTAGATGGGCGGCTATTTGGGTTAATTGTTCAAAATTTAACTATTAAGTTCTTAGATTGTCTTCAAGGAAAAACTATTGGATACCTTTTTAATGAAAATTTGGACACGAATTTTTACCAATTCAAGCGTTACATCGCTAGTAAGAGAATGAAATCAATGAAACAAGCTACAATTACAACGTTCTTCCGTCAATCTTGAAAGAATTTATTTTTCTAAGTAGCTTTAAAATATCTGCTTTAGAGGTTAAATCTTTATACTTTTAGTATGAATTTATTAATAATGTATTAGCTTTCGTCAATATTTAACTAGTGAAATATGCATATCTTTTGAGATTTAAAATTTTTATAATTTTTTTGTCTTTTATATGTAACATTAAAAAGGGAAAAATAATCGATTTTTTGATAATTTTTATCTATGACAACCAAAAAAATATTTAAACATCAAATGTTGTTATAGGTGTATAACAGACATTCATTATAAAAGCCAAAAAATATCGGAACAAACGAAATTGTTATAGAGAGGGAGTCGTATTTAATCTAATGTTAGATTTTTCACAAACTCTACACAACTAACATGATTTTGTACTTGTTCAATTATTCACGAAACTCTACTAGATTGGCATGAGATTGTTTTTATATTCAATTAGCATGTTTGTTAAATTGTTCGTCAAAATTTACCTGATTGGCATTATTTTTTTATGATGTTCAAACAAAAATGTTCTTCGACATTGTAATTATAATTTCGATCAAGCCACCCCAAATCTGCTCCAAATGATCTCAATTTGAAACAAGACCTTCAAATACCAACACAAACGATCCTTAATCACAAATTTAATTAAATAACACTAGATCAAACAGACCTGCTTTGTATTCTTTAACGCTTTCTAAGCACCAAAATGGAGTATTTTAAAGTAAACCACTAAATCATTATTTGATTTAAAATTTAGGCACAAATTATCAATATTCAAATGATTTTAATAATAATCGATCATTATCTTTCAGTTTTCACCCCAAACAAGAATTTCAAACTTCCAATGTTGAAGAACTAAAATATTTTTTTTTATGAAGAACGAATCATATTTTTGACTCTAAGTAAAAAACAAAGACGATATTTAAAGACTAGTCTCTTAGAGGGAAAACCTTTGTAATCTATTGAATAATCAAAACCTAGATGAGAGCCCTTGGGAACTGCCCACCCTCGTCACTAACATGAAGTACAATGTTTTTAGAGAAAAGGATTTGAATTTGCCCTTGAATTATGTGAAGTAATTTAACTCTCTCATTCGTTAATGGTTGGCGTCAAATACATCAATGTCATTACTAAATATACCTCTATTCACATATAAAGCATTAGTTAGTCTAATTTTTCTTTACGAAGGGTGGCAAGTGGGCCGGTCCCGGGCTTAAACGGGCTAAGTAGGCCGGTTCAAACGGTTCCGGGCTAAGTGGTTTTTTCCTGGCTAAATGGGCTAAGTGGGCCCAATGGATTTTTTTAAAAAAAAATTAAATAGAAATTAGAGACAAAAGGATGTTAAAAATAATATCTAAGGCAATGCCTTGTAAATTTTATTATAGAATTGTGACCTAAATTTTTAAATATTTTTTTAATTCAAATTTAAAGTCTAAAGACAAAAATATTGTAAAGAAATATTCAAAGCAATGCCTTGTAATTTTATTATAGCATTAAAAAACATATCAATATCTTTCTTAGTCTTCATCCCCCCTATGGAATGAGCACAACAAGGTGTTGATACCACCATTGAGAAGAAAAAGAAACTAATCAAATGAGCAAACAAATTTGTAAGTTCTGCAATATAAACTAAACAGTTAGAGATAGTAGGATAATATTGCCCAAAAAATTCATTTGTAGCAATATGAAATTTTTCTAAAAAATCTACAAGTATTTTAACATTAGTCCAATCCCCATTTGTAAGGTGCTCGTCATCATCACTTACATGTGCATTAAATGTTGAGTTTATGGGGTTTTCATATTCATATGCAACAACCAAACTTTCATACATGTAATTCCATCTAGTTGGACAAGGTTTAGGAACCTTTCTTTCTCTTAGGCCAAATTCATCGCATCTTTTAAAATATTCTCTAAGTCTACTGCTACGGTTTGAATAAAAAAGCCAGTTAAGAGCCATTTTAACCTTTTCAATTTCAATATTTAAAATTCGCATACCATCACCCACAATTAAATGGTAAATATGACAAATACATCTAACATGAAAAATGTCACTAAATGCAGGATTTAGCATAGTGGTAAGCAAGGCTATATCATTTGTGTTACTAGTAGCATTATCTATTGAAATTGACATTATTTTATCACTAATAAAAAAATATCTATAAATATTTATAACGGTGCTAGCAATAAACTGCCATGTGTGACGTGAATTAATTATTCTATAAGAAATAATGCGCTTTTGCATTATCCAATCCTCATCAATCCAATGATTGGTAACAGTAAGGTAATCACAGTCGTTACCACTTCTACCAATATCAGTTGTAATAGCAAAACGACCATTTATATGAGTAAATAAATAGCGCAAATATTGTTCATATTCATATTTATATTTATAAATATCGCTCTTTACGGTACTGCGAGGAAAACCTTTATAAGTAGGATTAAAGATTTTTTTTAATATAATGCACAAAGTTAGGGTTAGAAGGAAAACTATAGGGTAAGCACATAACAGTTACCATTTTTGTCAATTCTTCCTAATATTTTTTTGGATCATAATATAAAATACTACCGGTAACAGTGTTAATTCCCGGTTAAAATTGATTTGAACCGGTACTAGGGTCAACCTGACTAGGAGTAGGTAAAATTTTCNCCCTCCCTTCCCCATGATTTAAAATATTTAAAAACTAACTTCGTGCCACAAGTTTTACACTTAGCCTTATTTTCTAAAATTAATTGAGTAAAAAATGGTCAAACGGGAGATGTTTTCGCCCGTTTTCTAGGTTGTCTAGAAAAAGTAGGGGTAGTAATAGGAGTATCAGATAGGGAATCATTTGGATTAGCAGGGTTATCACTAGTTAGGTTAACATAGGGAGCAGGACTAGTTGGTGCATCATCATCCGGTTGAGTTTCATCAAAATCTATTTCTTCGTCATCATTTTCATCAATAGTTGGATTAGAATAAAGAGCATTCATTAATTCATGGTCTAATTGTTCACCAGCTCTAATATTATGAAAACATTGACTTTCAGTAAATTGTAATAAACTATTATCGCTATCAAGAATAGCAGGTGTAGGACGGATATGGGGTTTTGTTCGGGGAGCCCGGGGCAGTGGAGGAGGAACAGATCGAGCACTAGATTCGTCAGTCTTGGATTTTTCCTTATTTTTACTAAAAAAAAATTTTAAGGAAGTCATCTTAATTAATAAAGTAATAGAAAATAAATAAAACAAACAAAATTATAATATTAAAACTTAAGAGTTGGAGCGAGTTTACCGAATTGACGAACAACTTGTTGAAAATTGATTATCGTTGAAGACTTCATTTCACCAACTTCATAATTTTTTCACAAATTGTAACAATAAAGTAAGCATTACTAGCAATTATTGAAGAAAATTAGAGAGAGATTGTGATAGATTGATGATTTTGTAAGAAAAAAATGAAATAATAAGGGGGTATTTATAGTTGAAAATAGGGAAAAAGCGTAATTATAAAAAGTTTGGGGTTAAAA